TACCCAAGTTCACAGATGCCTGGGCTCCTGTGAGGTGGGTCAGGATGCTGCTCAGAGACGTCAGACCCCCTCTACTCACAAGCTGTGCACAACTGCACGTGTGCACGCACACATACATACTCTCACAAAAACATTCACACACACACACAGACACACACGGACAAGGCATGGGACATGTCTAGACAACACATAGATCATCACATTTATCATCCAAATTACCAACTTCTAATTAAGGAAATATTTTATTAAACTTTGAAAACAATTTTGTGTGTGTTTCAGACAAGTGTCAGTATGAAGCTCAGACTGTCCTTGAACTTGGATTTCTCCTACCTCTGCCTTCTGTATGCTGGCAATTAAACCATGTGTCACCGTACCCGGCTCAACATCTGTTTTATTATCTACAAACACAGCTTAGTAGATCTGTGGGAGCCCATTTTCGGGTTCCTCAATGGCTTTACCCAGCAGGTCCCCATAGAGGATGATTAGGACCACGGGCCTGAGTGCAGGGGTCTGAGATGGTCTGCACTTGGCTGTGCTGGGGGAGGAGGTCTTTTGCTCCACCCCCTTGGCATCTCTATAAATACTTTGGGGCAGAGACAGTCCGGGCCCATTGGAATAGGTTCCAGGCCCTCTCGAGGCTATCCTTTATTTTCTATCTGTTTATCTCCAAAATATAAATCCTTCTATCTAATATTTCCTGCTGCTCACACTCAAGAAAACTCTGGGGAGCTGTGGGGTTGGTGGGTAAACACCCCACATAGATCCATCCCCACAGGACAGGAAAAACATATTCGAGCAGTGCTCATGTACACACACACACACACACACACACACACAAATTATCACACATGCACACATGATCACACAGGAGCACATACACACACACACACACACACACACACACACACACACACACACACACACACTCTTCTTAGAATGGGCACAGCCAGTGGTCTAGCACCGGTTGTCTGTGACACAGACTTCTCTCTCATTTAACCCACACCACACATGACTGCACTTCAGGTTATCTGGGTGGTTTCTGACCACGGGCTTACACTCCGCACCACACAAAACCACCTATTTCTAGTTCTGCTGTTTGATCCCCCCTGGCCCCACGGGATGTAGAGTCCTGAGAAATACAACTGACATGCACACAGAAACATCGGAACAACTGCTTCTCCTATTTTTACTGGCAACTTGATTCTGGGGTTGCTTCTGTATTCCATGTCAGGGTCTCATTTTGTAAAGCCCAGGCTGAGCTTGAATGCATAATCCTCCTGCCTCAGCCTCCCCAGTGTTGGGATTACAGCCCCCAGGCTATCACCACAGCCTGCTGGATCTGTTTCTCTGCAGTATTAAAGGCTGTGTCTTTGTTTCTCAGTTCTGGACTCTCAAAGGGAACGACCCTAGGTTGTACCTCTTTAGAGGATGGCAGAGGTTCACCTCAGAGTCAAGGGGTGGTGGGTGGCACAGATGTGACCACCCTGCTCACAGCACGGTGGCAGACCAAACCACCTTCTCCGAATCTTTGATGAGGGACTGGAGAGGGATGCTGCAGATGGAGTGATGCTGGTACCCAGAGCTGCAGTCACACCAGGATGAACCATGTCAAAAGTGCCCAGTAAGAACCCTGCCTGGACGGTGACCGGTGACACCTTGGTGACAGAGGCATACTTACAACAGGGGAGAGAACACTGGCCTGGTTAGCTCTCCTCTGGCATGTTTCAGTCCTTCTCCTGCGCTCGGACTATGCCGTCTTAAGTAGAATCTGCAGGGACACCCCCACCCCTTCCCACTCCCACCTCACCCCACCCCGCTCCACCAACAGGTCACAAACTGCCAGCTCATCCTGCAGCCAGGTGTCTGCTGGGTGCTCAGCGAGCGCACTAAGGGACGCTGTGCAGGGTAACCGCCCTGGGCCTTGAGGCGGGGATGCGCTGTTATCCCAGCACGTCCTGTGGGGATCACGGTGTAATTTAATCAGCACATCGGCATGGTTGAACTCCCGGGGTGGGGAAATAATGAAGTCGGCCGGCGCTTAGTGCTGGGAGTTCTCTGTTCAGCCTTGGGGGCAGCTGTGACCTGGAGCTGGGCTCAGTGAGCTCGGCCGGGCCAGCCTACATGGTGTGACTGTCCCAGGCACCGTGGGCCAGTGAGCAGCATCACTGACCCCCTCCACCCCCACCCATTAGGGCCGAGTGGTACCTTCCCCACTCCAGTTATAAGGGCACTATCTCCAGACACTTCCAGATGTCCCCCGAGGGTCAGGGGAAGGGGGGAGGGGCTGCCCGTGTGACAAACCCACCGCCCTAAATCTATTAGAAAGATGGCTTTGTGAATGTGAGCTAATTGCTTGAGTGTGGCCACGGAAGGGAAAGTTAAGCGGAGAGAGGCTCAGCTGAGGTTTAGATCCCTGGAGGCTGAGGGTGGAGGATGGAGAGTCTGAGGCTAGCCTGGGACAGACAGACCAGGTCTCAAAGGAAGAGGGGGGGGGGGAAGAGAGATAGAGAATTATTTAAGGCTTATCATGTTCTGTAATAACCAATGGGAAGAGACAAAATAAATGATCAATCAAAACGTGGGTTTCCACTCACTGTGATTTAATAAACACAAATCAATAGCATTTGTGTATTTTATCATTTAACTTACGGACACAGACTTGGGCAGGACCAGCAAGATGGCTCTGTGGGCCAAGGCACGGCCACAAGACTGATGGCCCGAGTCCCATGCCAGAACCCACACGGTGGAAGGGAGCGCAAACTTTCGAAGGTTTTCTTCCGACCTAAACCATGGTACATGTGTACCCCCACCCACCCCCAATAATGAAATGTGACTGAGTTTTTTAAAGATTTATTTTTATCATTTTTGTGTGTGTCTGTGTGAACGGATGCCACGTTTCTGGTCCCTGTGAAGGCCAGAAGATGTCATCCCATCCCATCGGTTATGAGTCCCCCAACGTGGATGCTGAGAACTGAACCCCGTCCACTGGAAGAGCAGTAAGCATTCAACCACTGAGCCGATTTCCCCTGCCCCTTAAAAAAAAAAATCCTCTTTGCAACCCAGAACTCCTTATTCAGCGTGAGTTGATACACATGGGCTCGGGATTTTACAAATAACATAAATAGAAACGGGAACGGTCAACCCTTGTTAGCAAACAGCTTAAGAGATGACTGGTCCACGGCCGACCGGGGAATGGACAGACAGACACCTCCTGTACCTGTGGCTGCAGGACTTGACCTGAACAGTGGTGCTCTGTAGCAGCAAACCCACTCCCATGGAAAGACCCAGATGTCCCCAACAGGTCCCTAGCAGCCTCGCACTGTGTGCGCAGACCCTGCAGACATTAAACCCATAGGCGCCACCGTTTCCAAGGGGGAAGCGGCTCTGGGTTTTGCGTTTTTGTTTATTGGCTTGTTTGGTTTTGCCTGAAAAGTCACAGAGGAAGCCGAAAATAGCTGGTGGTTATCTTCGGGCTGTGTGGTTTTTAGGTAATAATTTTTTTTTTTTTTTTTTTTTTTTTTTTTGGTTTTTCGAGACAGGGTTTCTCTGTGTAGCTTTGCGCCTTTCCTGGAACTCACTTGGTAGCCCAGGCTGGCCTCGAACTCACAGAGATCCGCCTGGCTCTGCCTCCCGAGTGCTGGGACTAAAGGCGTGCGCCACCACCGCCCGGCCTAGGTAATAATTTTATCATTTGTATCAGGTCCAAAAAAAAAAAAAAACACCTCGGGACAAATGACTAACTATGGTGCCTATTACAACGTGAGTATTGCTCTCCAGGCTTTCTCAACATCACTCCAATCTGCAGCTCTTCTCAGTCAGCCCCCTCCCCTCCCCTTCCCCAGCTTCTCATTCCTGTGTTAGCCTGCCATTTGGGCCATGAGCTCCCGGCCGCCTCGCTTCCTCCTCCTCCCATGATCATGTTCGGTCCACTACTTTTTCTCCCTGCTCTGGACTCTCCCAGATGCCTCGGACTAGACTCCCCCTCATTAAAAACCTGCCCCTCAGCCACACCCTGGAGCGGTCAGGTCCTCACTTTACAGTTAGATTGTCCGGAATTAGCTAGTTAAAAAATAAGTTCCTAATGACTATAACGGATGCCTTTCTCGTCCTTGCCCACCCCCCCCCCATGCTGCTCCCTGGGGGCTGCTGACATTGGCCTCTTGGGAGGCAGCGTCTCTCACTCAAGAGGATACCTCAGGGCAAACTCGGACAGGTAGACGTGTGACCCCGTTTTCCAAATAAAAGGCCCAAGACTCAAAGAAGGCCACACCGTTGAGAAACAGTGGTTCCAGGCTCCGGTCACATTCCTGTCCCGTCTGTGAAGAAGAGGCCAGTTCATGATTGACCTGCAAATCCCTACGTTGGGAACATCTGGGCCCGGAATCCCAGCGTGCCCCTGTTCCCCACTCCGCTCCCGGGAAGCCCTGCAGTCGGCCTTTGGGGTGTGTGAAGGGCTCCATCATGGCCCTAGAAGGCTCCCTCTACTCCTACAGGAACCCAGGAGCTCACCCTTCCATCCTGGCTGGGGGGTGGGGGTGGGGCCACATTCCCCCTGGCACCCCATCTCAGAATCCTCCTGCTGTTGTGTTTCTTCTCTCTGTGGTGACACAGGTGGCATCCCAGCATCCTCGGCGAGAGACCTACCTGCCCGCATCCCCCCACAGCTAATAACACTACACGCCTAAGTTGATGTCCGCACCTCCTCTCTTCCCCCAGGCCCCCCGATATGCCTCACTGACTTGTGCACACAAAACTACGGCCTCTGACTCCAGGAGCCCCATCGGGAGAACTCAAAACCAACCCTGCGAGGGGGGTGAGCCGGGGCCCTTCCCTGCCCAGTGCCACTCCTGTCTGAAGGAAGTACTGGGAATTTCCGAAGTAGCGTGTGTGCGTGTGTGCGTGTGTGCGTGCGTGTGTGTGTGTGTGTGTGTGTGTGTGTGTGTGTGTGTGTGTGTGTGTATTCCCCTACTTGACTAAAACACAAAACCCACATTCTACAGTCAATTAAAAGTGACTTTTGCAGCTGGGCGGTGGTGGCGTACGCCTTTAATCCCAGCACTCGGGAGGCAGAGGCAGGCGGATCTCTGTGAGTTCGAGGCCAGCCTGGTCTACAGAGCGAGATCCAGGACAGGCTCAAAAAAAAAAAAAAAAAAGTGACTTTTGCATTACTGCCTTGGTGTGGACGTAGACACCAGTTTCTCCTATCTCCTGTCTAGGATAGCTGAAAGCCATCCATTCTCGGGGGGGGGGGGGGGGGGGGGGGGGGGGGGGGGGGGGGGGGGGGGGGGGGGGATGGAGGTGCAGTGGAGGACACGTGGGCAGGGTTCAAGGTGAAGTTCTTGTGTGGGTTTTGATGATTCTGTCTTGGAGGGGACTCGGGAGGGCAAGCCACCTCTCGCTTTTTCCCCCATCCACCGAGTGAAACACAAGCAAACTCGATCCTTGATCCCAGCTGCTCGGGGACTATAAACCCGTGGACTGTACACCACAACATGCCGTTCTGGTGCCGAGTCACAGAGAACTGGCAACGGGCATGACGTTTGCAACTGTTCACAGTCAACCTGGGTCGCCACTCTTGAGAGTGAAAACTAACTCAAGGGAGAGACTAACACCAGTGCTGACCAAGGGCAGACTAGCATTAAAAGCCAGGTGAACCCGGCAGCTGGGGTGCACCTCTAATCCCATCACTTGGCAGGTGCAGAGAGGACAGTCAGGAGTTCAAGGCTGGTGTTAAACACATAGGGAGTTGGATGCCAGCCTGGGCAATGGGAGAATATATATATATATATATCCCAGTTTATATATATATATATAAACACCCCAGTTACCAGAAAGAATGAGCAAGCCAGAACATGCCAGAACATTCCAGGACGTGCCAGAATGTGCAGGTGCACCTAGTTCTTCAGTGAACTTTGAATCCACGCACTGAGAAGTCCAGAGCAAACGGAAGAGAATCACCGGGATCTAACACTGAAAATCGATTCCCTGGCCGGGGCCACGGCTCAGGAGCAGAAGGTTTGCCAGTCACACACAAAGTCCTGGGTTTGATCCCAGTATGGCAGCACAAACCAAGAGAACAACTGCCACCAGCCTGTCCTCCCTTCCGGAGAGGTGACAGAATACAATTCAGAGGTGAGCATGAAGAGGAAGCGGGACGGAGCTGAAAGAAATCCCATCCTGAAGGCAAACGTGGCTGGGAGACAAGGCTCCACGAAGCTGCTGAGATAAAATCTTGAGACTCATGTATGATGCTAGGGCAACCTGAAGCCAACCCACAGAACGCCGGGGCCTACTGTGAGGCTCCGTGACACAAGTGTGCATTAACAGGTGGCCTAAAACCCAAGTTTCAGTTACGGCTGACAACCGCCCACCCCTGCGAGCGAGCCTCGGACGTTGACCCGCCTTCGGGACGCTCTTCCGCATGGCTACCACATCCGGCTCCCACCGAGAGTGGCTGGGAAACTCTAGGCTGGAGGAAGAGCTTAACTAGTATTTGCCTCTGGCACACGGCCAGGAGCGGAGCACAGTAAGGAATGAGCGGATGGTGTGAAGCACATTTCCAGGTCCCCACCGGCTTCCGTGACGGCCAAGGGAAAGGCTCCCCTGCCCCAAGGCTGAGCACAGTGACAGGAAACCCCACTGGGACAGTCATCTGGGGGAATTCAGGCCTCCCGACTACCATGTCAGGTATATGAGCAACCACAAGGGCTCAATGGGGACCAGCGCCCCCCACGTGAGGCTCTACATACCCCTAGATGTTGGGATATGCACACAAGGCCTGCCGGTCCAATGTTGAAACAACCAAAAGTAAGTCCGGACACCCCACACTCCTGGAGACAACCTTGCACCTGGGCGCAGGAGCGACGTCACTTGTTGACTCAAGTCAGGAAGTGAACACAGCAGTCACCTCCTCGAGCGCACCCAACTGGACAGGCAAAGGTGTCCTGCACGACACACGGCACCTCCCACCGCTCTGAGAAGTCATTAAGTAACTACAACCTAGGATCAAGCGCCCAGCCCCTGCCCAGCAGGCTCAGGGCCCTGTAAGGTGCCAGGGCCTCGTCTGGCCTGCTCCACAGGACAGCTCCGTCCATCCGCTCCAGCGGGCGGTGAGGGAGCCAGAGACACTCGATGCCTGCCACAAGACACGGTCAAGGCCAAGGATCCCTGTGTGCCTGCCTTTCTCCTTCGTCATCTCACGTGGACCAGACTGGTTCTGGGTGTCTCTCTCCATCAGGCCTCACGCGGGGAAGAGTTCCGGCGGGCTCTCTCCATAGCAGTACTTGGCTATGGGGTCGCGGTAAGTGTTCTCATGCTGCACGCTCTGTTGGCGAAGGAAGACGGGACAATGAGAGAGAGGGTCAGCTCAAGGGACAGCCACGCACTCCCTGCCCATTCCGCCTCCGGCACGCCTTGGGGTTTCAAGGAACTTTCTGGAATAAAGGCACTGGGTTTGAGCTCTAGCACCTCATAAAAATGGGTGGAGCGGTGCCCATCGGTGATCCCGGCATTGGGGGAATAGAAACTCGGGGTCATTCTTAGCAGTACAGTGAACCTGAGACCAGCCTAGCCACAGGAGTCTCAAACATCAAAACAAGGGCAAGGTGAGATGGCTCAGGAGCTAACACAGACAGACAGCGCTGGCCTCCGGGCCTGAGGACCTCGGTTTGATCTCTGGGACCCACATGGGAGAACGAGAAGCAGACTCTACAGGCTGCCCTCTGACCCCCACGCACACGCGATGGTAACGCCCACACACGTGCGCAATATTAAGTATGAAAAGAACGCACAAAGCAATCTGAAACGGATGGACACGTGGTGGGATCGACACCTGACCCCGTGGTCGGAGAGATCCAGTCCCTGGTAAGGAGCTCTGCAAGGGACTCGGGAGGTGACGCCACTTCAAACGGCAGACATGCGCTAAGAGTCTGTGCGCGAGCCAAGCGCCCTCCCCAAGAGCCTCTCTGGCTGGGCTCAGCAAGTGAAGCTGAGCCCAGACAATCCCCCCCCCCCACACCATCGGGGGTAGACTTCCAGCAATTTCTTGTCGTATGAGCAGTTTGAGCTTTTGGCTGCTCTGGAGCTCATTAATTAGTCTCTACCAAAGCTATGCACCCTGTTAATCCCACTCAACAGACTCGAAGCCCAGGCTCTGGGCACTCGAACCAAGCGGCCACTGAGAATCGTCTCCGCTTGCACAATAGTCGGTACCTTCTGGCTCTGTTGGCTACAGGAAGCTGAGAGTATCAGTTCCCCTTTCCAGCGTTAGCCAGGAAGAGCAAGTGAATCTACTGAGTCCCCTCACGCTTCCCTTTACACCCATTTACCTGGGAAGCTCCCCACCAAGACCAGTGGAATTTCACATTCTCAGCGCTCCCTCTATCCTGACCTGGGATGGTCTCAACAGTGGACTAGAGATGGAAAAGGGAATTACCAGGCACAAACCCAAAGTTTACAGAGGGCCAGAGACGGACACAAGCCAGTTATCCCAGAGGAGTGTGCTTGTGCAAGAGACAGCTTACACAGAGCAGTGACAGGTGCCCAGCCACAAAGGCAGGGAACTGGGGCAGGCGAGATGGCTCAGCATGGAAAGGTGCTTGCCGCCAAGGCTGGTGACCTGAGATTGAGCCTCAGGACCCACATGGTGTATGGAGAGAACTGACCCTCACGAGCTGTCCCCTGACTTGTATGCATGTGCCTCCCCAAGCCCAAAACGAACGTAGAAGGGGAAATACCCAAAGGTGGGGACAGAGGCCTTCCGGGGCACTCCATGGGTGGCGGGTGCACGTCAAGAGAGCAGAGCACTCAAGGTGAGGTAGCGTGTGCTCACCGAGAGCCTTACAAACCTCAGACTGACCCATGTGCCTTTAAATCCCCACCGCCGCCGACCCTTGGGTTCCAGAATCAGTCCATGGCTCTGCCAAGGGACAAGGGACTGCCCTCTCAATGACCAGCTACTGGATCTAAATATCTCGCCTACCCACCCCCAAGCAGCAGAACGTGGTGTCGACGAAGCCCCTTTCCACCCTGGGTCTGTCCATAGTCATCGGCTAGTGTCCTCCAGCTCTGCCTCCCTCCCTCCCTCCCTCCCTCCCTCCCTCCCTCCCACCTCCCCTAGCGAGGGAGGGCCAGCACCGCTTCTGACCTGGGATGAAGTTCTGCACTTGGCCAAGCACAGTTCGAAGTGGTCTTCAACCGCCATGAAGAGGTTCTGGAAGGCCACAGCTGCCCGGTTGAGGAAGCGCTCCAGTAGAAGTTGCTGTGGAAACAAGGGGTATTCAGTCCTGGTAGTCACTGCAGGCCAAGCCAGCCCACCAGGAGGGACAGAGAGCGCCAGTCTCTCATTCACCAGACACCTGGTTAGCAATAGCATGGTCCTCTCTGCAAAGGGACCATGAGTCGGGGACCAGCTCGTCTCTCAGGAGAGGCCAGTGCACCCACAGAGCTCTTCTCAAGCACCCCAGGGGATGTCTAGCTCTCCCCCTCACCTTGCTGGGCTGCAGACAGCAGGAGACACAGTACTCATAGGCTTCGCAGCAGCCATTGGCCAGGCACCCTTCACAGGAGTACTGCTTGGCGCTGGGGACACCGACATCACAGCAGCCATTGGCCAGCAGGTCCTTCCTCTCGCAGACATAGCCTGCAAGTCAGAGACGCATCCTGAGCACCAGGGCTGGCTTCATCCAGGCAGACGATTACGGGGAAAGTCGGGCTCCTCCGTTATCACTAGATCCACCTTGTCACCACGCTCAACCACTTTCCAGTCTCCTGAGTAAGCTGTGAGCTCATCAGCACGCCAAGCCACGCCCGTGCTAACATAAGCGGGCAATCTTTCACCTGGGCCTCTCTTAAAAGGTCTAAGACGGGGCTGGAGACGATGGCTCCGAGGTGAAGAGCGCTGGCTGCTCTTCCAGAGGTCCTGAGTTCAAGTCCCAGCAACTACCTCTAGTGGGATCTGATGCCCTCTTCTGGCATAAAGGCGTACATGCATCTAGAGCACTCATATATGTAAAATAAATATTTTTTAAAAGTTTAAAACAGAAACAGCAAGGCACCCATTCATAAAAAAGCATGTGCTTTGCAGATTCAAAAAGCAAGCACACCGCTTTTGATGGCTTATGCATGCTCGCTGCTTCTGTGGCCATTTGAAGGGACAGTCCACCTTCCTAACTCTGCCTCCTGGAGTGTTTGTACACAAACATGGGGCAGGGGCACAGCCACCTCCCAGAATTAGGGATGAAGTTCTCAGATCCATGAGGAGAAGAAAAACTTAATTGGCTCCACAACTGAGAAACCCCATCACACAGATATGAATGTCCGGTGTCAGCCAGGCCTCCTTACTGAAACTGCTTTACTACCCAGAGCTTCTAGACAGACAGTTCCCTGCATCCTTTGGGAACAGGACAGAAAAATCTAAGTGTAAGTCATGAGAGCCATCACCCAACCCCAGACATGTTCCCAGTGGCCATTCGGGCCTGAAGGTATATCTGTACATATATACATATATATGCATATAAGTATATGCAAGGGCCCTCGGGTAGGTGTGTGGACTCTCAGGTATAGGCAAGTGCCCTCTGGTATGGGCAGGGGGCCTCTGATGTGTGTGTGTATGTGAAGGGCTTCAGGTATGTGCAGGGGCCCTCAGGTGTGAGCAGGGGCCCTCAGGTGTGAGCAGAGGCCTTCAGGTGCGTGCAAGGGCCCTCAGGTGTGTGTGTGTGGGGGCCCTTAGGTATTCATGTGGGTCCTCAGGCATGCATGCGGGCCCTCAGGTGTGCACAGGGGCCCTCTGGTGTGTGTGTGGGGGCCCCCGGGGTGTGTGCAGGGGCCCGCAGGTGCTCAGCAGCTGTTCCGAGCACTAGCCCGTGTGAGCGCCCCAGCTCTGTCCTCAGAGAACGAGGCTGGCGGAGGATAACTTGTTTTCGGAACTGCTCTGGAAAACAAGGTCAGTGCAGGAGCGGCTGGCGCTGGCAGAACACTGACACCAGAGGGGACACCAGAGGGCTCTCGCTCAACACTTGGGGACCAGGAGAGAGCCATTCCCACCACCTGGGAGCTGGCGGTTTCTGTTGTGTTTCTGCGACTGCGTCTCCTGAGTGAAGAGACAAGCACTCTCTGATGTCCTAGTCAACGCTTCCTTCCCAGCTGCCCCCACTCACGCTGTTGACAAGGATTCTAAACGGAATTCCCAGGGAGTCAGCACGCTCCCCAGGATCCCATCCCCGATGACAATAATAAAGCAACTCTCTGCATCACGGAGATTCTTCCCACTGCCACTCCCAGCACTCGGCCTTGAACTCCGGTGCTCACCTCCCGATGATCAGGTCTAACTTCTGAGGAGAAGCAAGCTCACCCAGGCCTCTCACTGTGTATCAGAAATCATGAAAAAGTTACCTTTCCCTTTTCATAGAGTTACTTTGATTTTTAATCGTGTGTGTGTGTGTGTGTGTGTGTGTGTGTGCCAGCGCGCGCGTGCGCGTGCCCGCAGAGGCCAGCAGAGGGCGTTGGATCCCTGGGAGCCCGAGTCACAGGCAGTCAGTCTTCCATGGATGCTCGGAATCAAATCCAGGCCCCAGTCAGAGCTCTTGACCACTGACCCACCTCTCCAGCCCCTTCTTTATTTTTAGTTGAAAACAAAAAACAAAAATACCTACAAGATCCATATGAGGCATTGTGATATTTCAACACACATATGCACAGTGTGGTGCTGATCAGATCTGCAGATTTCCATCAAGTCCTGTGAGGCCAGGGCCAGCGAATGTGTTGGTCTTGACTGGGAAATTAGCATCCAGCTTCTGAAAAGTTGGTGATTCTAACTGGCTATCTTGTTTAACAGCGCTGTTACCCTGGCAACATGGTGGCATCTCGTTGCTAACCAGCATCAACGGCTGTGAGTTTTCTTTATTAAACCATGTTCCCCATATTTACAAAGGCAAAATAAAACCTGCGGCCCCTGTGGGATTTTTTTATGGGTTGGGAATCTGAGTGCTGAATTTTTTTTTTTTCTTTTTTAAACTAAAGGAATCTGTGAGTCTTTGTCTGATCTAAATTAACCAGAAGAAAATTACTGTTTTTGTGGCTACAGTAAAAGAAAATGACAATCTGCCACCTGATACTAAAATTTCCTGTTTTCTGAGTCTATAGAAACAAGCCCTGGCCTCCAAGCCAGGCCCCACCCGTTATCTGACAGCTCCCTGCATCTTCTTGGTGAAGTAACAGACCCGTGCTCCATTTCTCTTTTCTTACAAGGATACTTACAGGCCAGTAAGATGCTTCACCAGTAAAAGGGCCTGTGTTAATCCCTGGGATCCACATTGTGAAGGGGGAAAACAATCCTACCAATTAGCCTATGACCACGATATACACCATGTGGTACGCATGCACGCACGCACGCACGCACGCACGCACGCACGCACGCTCGCTCGCACGTACGCTGGCGCGCGCACGCACTAAAAAACAAACACAAGATGAGGAAGCCCTGTGCCTGTGCCTGGTAGGAAGTGGCCTGGGACTGAGGCCAGTGCTGGAGCTGTAGGCAGAGGGGACCTGCTAGGGGTCTGGTTCCTCAACCAAGCTTCCCAGACGCTGCAGGGAGCCTGGGATAGCGAGAAAGGTACGGAAGACAGACATGGGCGCCCCTGGAGAGGAGCAAGGAGGGCAAAGGCATTCATCGTGAGGGAAGGCCAGCCAGAGTCCCAGGGCCTTGAGTGTAGGGGAGAGAGGCCGTACCCAGCTCGTCCGTGATGAGGTGTTTCCCTTGAACAGAGTTCCGGCACTGGTTGCTGGGCCGGCTGCTGTTGCCCAGGTTAAACTGGACCTTCCACGGAATGGGCTGTTCGCGGTCTTGAACCTGGAGCAGGTTCCGATCTCTCACCGCCCTCTCTTCCTGCAATGAGACCATGGGTGAGAGGAAGGTTAAAAGTGTTTTTCTAAGCTGTAAGGGAAAGAATAGAGAAGGAGAGTTAAAATGGGCCAGAAGGAAACATCAAGAATGAGTTAGGGAGTTGGGGATTTGGCTCAGTGGTAGAGTACTTGCCTAGCAAGCCCAAGGCCCTGGGTTCGGTCCTCAGCTTCAGAAAAAAAAAAA